AGCTACTCGGGAGGCTGAGGCAGGAGGATCGCTTGAGCCAGAGTTGAGGTTGCTGTGAGCTAGGCTGACGCCACGGCACTCACTCTAGCCTGGGCAACAAAGTGAGACTCTGTCTCAAAAAAAAAAAAAAAAAAAATCACTACGCCCAAATACATCACTGATGTCTCTCTCAGTTGAGTAAAGATTTATATATATTAAAAAAAAACCACATGCTTGTAAATCACTGAACTGAATTCAAATCCTGCCCTTACCATTTACTAGCACTGGGAAAATCAAGTTAAAGTCTCTAAGCTTTCGTCTCCCTTTTCTTCAAAATGCACATAAAAGCGTTGCCCCTCAAAGCACTGTCAGGAGCATTAACTGAGAATTCTTGCAAAGCACAGAGCACAGGATCTAGCCCAAAGTATGCTCTGAGTTCACAGTGACTATTATTTTTTTCAGTGCACCAGGAAAAAGGCTGGACAAAAGGGATGGCTTTGAGCCAGGGTAGGGGTTCTCGACTTCTGGAGCACCAGAAAGAGAGCACAGTGTCCCAAATAAATTGTCCCGAGTTTCTGACGCAGCCTTTCCCGGCGGCTCTCTCCGCGTCCAGGGTCCCACTCAAACCCCCTTGGCCGGAACCTAGCAGAGGGGCCTGCGCCTGCCCTAACACTGCCCCTTAAGCTGGGTGCGTCTAGCTGAGCAGGCTGGGGCTGAGGCGTCCTGTGCCCGGGCTCTCCCCTCGGCCTCCAGCCCGAAGCGCCGTGGCCGCGCTCGCCGCTCACGGCCCGCAGGTGCGCTCCGGCGGCGGGAGGCGGCAGACGTCGTCGCCCTGGACAGAGAGAGGTTCCCCAAGTCATCACCAGAGACTGTTAAGAAAGAGCTTTGGGGAGCCGCTTCGCCTCCTGGACCGGGTGGGGGAGGCGCGGGGGCCGCCTCCCCGCACTGACACCGGTCACCTCTCTGCACTCCAGCGGGGCGGCGAAAGCAGAGCGCGGTGTCCACCTAGCGGCGCCGAGCCCCGGCGCGCCCGCCTCCGCCGCCCCCGCGCAACGGGGAAGTGAGGGCCGGGCACAGCCCGCCGCCCCCGCGCCCGGTGCCTGGAGGTGCCTGTTGCGAGCTCTCCTCCCAGAGAGAAAAGCCAGCGGAAAGGGGCTGCTGCCGCCACCACCCTCCTCGCGGCTCCTCTCAAGCCCTCCGGCCGGGCTCTCTCTGACGGCCGCACTCGGCCGCACTCGGCGCTGACTTTGCGGCCCCGGCGGCCACCTGCGCGCGGGTGACCCGGCCCGGTGCGCAGCGGGCGCCGCGGGGACAGCAGAGGCCGCCGCGCGACTTTCCCGGGAGAGCAGGGGCCTGGGGCGCCCAGGGCTCGGTAAAACTGGGCGCGCGCGGTGAGACCCCAAGTCGTTTCCCGTGACTCTACGCCCGCTCTACGCAGCAGGGCTGGCCGGAGGGTGAGACCGAGAACCTGTCAGTGGCGAAATGGAGTCTCCTGGCGGGGATGCCCGGGACCCCGGCGCTGGCCCCCGGACACGTGGACTTCCCCAAAGGCCTGTGCTGTTAGCACGCCCGCGCTCAGGACGGGGCCTGGGTCCTGAGACGCCGAGCGCGTGCGTCCGCGCCCCGCGCGGTTCTGGACACGCCTACACGCCACCTGAGTTATCGCGGGCTTAATATTTTCCTTACAATCAACCTCTTTTTAAAATTACATATAATGATTAGGGAAACAGTTTATTGCTATACAAACCGGAAGCCCAGCATTTCTTGCCAAAACAGAAGAGAATTGTAAAATAAATACGCAGCAGTTATGATTTCTTAAGTCTGGCTGTTTACTACTAAAAAATCATCTTATACGCCATCGGTGGTTGTGTTTTCCACGCTTTAGGAAAAACTCGGATTCCAGTAGAACCTCCTCCAGGAATTCTGAATGAAGTTAAGCAAAAGATGGGAGAGAGAGGGGTGACACTTTTGTCCCATTGCCAAAAAGTGAAGCTTGGCTGAAATTCTGTACCCTGTAGCTACTCCCATGGCCTTCCTGCAGAATGCACATACGTTCGGAAACTGCAAGTTATTTTTTACTAGGAAGCTGGAGGGGAAGGGTGGAGACCTGGCTTCCTGTACGCCTGCCTCACCCTGAGCTCTGATACCAAGTGTGACGGTATCACAAAGTAAGGAGGTCCCTAGAAGTCGCAGCCCTGTGTCTGAGGATTGATGCCCTCCCACATCCTTGTTCTGCCCCAGCCTACTGCCTGCTGTGGAGGCCACCTACGGATGGGGCATGGGCCAGAACAGCAGGCAGGATCTGGGTGTCCTCGCTAGACATGGCCCTCCCCAGACATGGCCTCAGTGGGCTTGTTGTTAAAGAGGTCTGCCCAGACCAGGCACTGGTGGCTCACACCTGTAATCCTAGCACTTTGGGAGGCCAAGGCAGGAGGATGGTTTAAGGCCAGGAGTTCAAGACCAGCCTGAGAAACATAGCAAGAACCCATCTCTACATAATATAAAAAAATTAGCCAGATGTGGTGGTGTACACCTGTAGTCCCAGCTACTCCAGAGGCTGAGGCAGGAGGATTGCTCAAGCCCAGGAGTTTGAGGTTGTATTGAGCTATGATGATGCCACTGCACACTAGCCTGGACAACAGAGCAAGACCCTATCTCAAAACAAAACAAAAAAATAGATCTGTTCACTCTAGGTTAAGGTGTAGGGAAAGATAACCATGGGACTATGGGCAAGGCACTTCCCTCTTGAGCTTGGTTGCCTTACCTATAAAATAAAGAGGGTGGATCAGACAGGGCCTTATGGTTAGAGCTATCCCTCCCCAATCCCTTCTCCAGACTAAGACTCGGAGCCGTTAGAGGTTTAAATTGCTTCCTAGCCACTCCTGCCTTCCAATGCACACAGGACTTTTGTAACAAGGTATATAGATAATCTCATCTCTTTGAGAACCAGGAGACTATGGTCAAGTAGGAGGAATACCCTCCTCGCTCTGTCCTACAGTCCTGGAATGCAGAGAGATTACTTGTCCCTCTTGTCTTAGAAATCTTTAGATCAAGAAGTCCCAGTCGTTGGTCCTGGAAAGTACTTGAACTAGCCTGGCATAAATTTGGGTGTGGGAGAGTTCAAGGGGAACCAAGGCATGCCTCTGCCCCTGTGGCTCTGCACGGGGTCTTTAATATTGCACACCTGCTGCGACAGTTCTGGCTCTGTCCCTTCCGAGTGGTGGGAACTTCAGACAAGTTATTTAACCTCCCTAAGCCTCAGTTTCTTCATCTATAAAATGGGCTTAATACCTACTTCACAGAATTGTTTGTGGGGGCTAAATGAGATGATTCATGTAGAGTCAGCTAATCAACATTTGCTGAATACCTACTATTCCAAGTGCTTGGTGCATAGCCCAGTTCCTTGTACAGGGTATGCATGCAAGGAGAATTTGGAAAAAGCAATATAGGTAGGTAGATAGATAGATAGATAATTTTTTTTCTGTGCCACAGCAATTCCATCCAATCTCCTTTCTCCTACAAGAAAGGGGTTGGGCTTCCTCTTGGCATGGGAGCTAGATTCCAAGCAGCATTGTTCCACAAGTAAGCATTCCAAGAAAAGGAACATAGAAGCTGTCAGTCATCCTAAGAATTGATTTTGGAAGTCCTGGAACAGCACTTCTACTGAATTCTGTTAATCCATGAGATCATGAAGCCAGCCCAGATTCCTGACACAAAGAGAAGCCTGTGCATGCCAGGAAGGAATGAATTGTTAAGGGCCATCTTGGGAGACTGCCGAACACAGACAGGGAATAGAATAGTCGGTCCTCTAAATCCCAGCAGCCATTCGTTTATTCATTCATTCGTCATCTGTCTTCCCCTCTATATCTAAGTTCATAAAAGCAGACACTTTGCTCTGTTCACTGGTATATTCCCAGCACTTATAACAATGTTTGGCACATTGTAGATGCTCAGTAAATATCTGTTGAATGAATGAATGAATCAATCAATCAATCAAGTAATGAGTCATCCAGTTATCCAAACCAGCCACAGGAAGTTGAGTAGGCCAAGAAGTTTTCATGGAAGAAAGCAGGACTTCAGCTGGGCTTTAAAGACAGGTAGGCCTGGCAAGAATGTGCTGAGCTAATGAGAGGCAGTGATGGCTAGTGGGCACATTGCCTAGTCACTTGCTTGGTGGTCACACAATCAACCAGGAACCTTAACCCATTGTTGTCCTACACTCAGGGGAGCATTCATTAGATTTGGGGTGTGTGTATGTGCATGTCCCATGGGGAGTCTGCAACAGGGAGGAGGAGGACACTGAATTCTCACCAGCTCAGTCCCAGGGATTGGGCTTTCTCTGAATTTGCACTGTAGACCAGTGATTCTCATCTTGGGACAATTTTGACATGAGATAATGTCTGGGAACATTTTTGCTGTCATCACATTTGGGGGGGGGCGATTGTTACTGGCATTTAGTGAGTAGAGGCTAAGGATTCTGCTAAATATCCTACAATGCATAGGACAGGCCCGAACGTTAACTGCACCCCTGTTGAGAACCCTGCCACAGAGGGTGACAGGGAAGCTGGCATCAGAGGCATCCAGGAGCCGGCAGGCAGCAGGCAATCTCTGCAGGAGCACTTGCCCCAGAGCTGTCTTCCCACCTAAGATGCCTGAGTTTTATAAATAGCTCCTCTCAATATTGTAGCAGTTCTAGCAGTTTGAATTAGTGTTAGAGGAGTTTCAATACGAGGGATAATAAAATTTCAAAGGAAATATAAAGGGAGAGAAGAGACTGGAGCAGTCATCAGGTCTTCCTGCAGCTAAGGAGAAAAAAGCCCTCCGCACTTGGAATGCAAGATTCTATCAGCAAAATGCTCTCAAATTCCTCCTCTCAGTCTCCACTCCAACTTCCTGGTCCAAGCCATCAGCATCTCATGCCTGGGCCAAGACCTCTCAGTGTGCTTCCTGGGCTCCCTCCACACTTTCTCCCCCAGAGAAAGGAGAAGGATCTTAGAGCACAAATTAGATGACACATTTGCTGATTCAAAACCTGGCAAGACTTTATTTTTTTCTCATTGTATTTAAAAGAAAAGACAAAATCTGTAATTGTTCCACCACATTCTGGAAGATTTGGCCTCATTTATCTCTGGGAGCTCCAGGCCTCAGGGTAATCCAGCCATGGAGGGTTGCATGCAGGCCTGCTTTTCATTCAAGCTCAATCCAGCCTCCAGTCACGGCCCCCATGGTCTGATGGTGGAGATGGACCTGAATTGATCATGTCACACGAGCACACATAAAAATGGCCCTGCTGCCATGAGTGAGGGCCACAGTGCCCCAGAGACTATGGCAAGGAGATTTGGCTCATGGGAGAGACCAGTGAATGAATTCTGGACAAAGTTGCTCTTGAATGGAGCTTTGGAGGATGAGGAGTTAACTAAATAAAAAGAAAACAGGAATAAAGAACAGCATGTACAAATGCCCTGAGGTGGTACAAGCTAGGCTAAGTGGGGAGAAATTTAGAGAGAGGCCATAGAGGTGGGGTAGGCAGGAGAGAGATCTTGCAAGGGCTACAAATCAAGATAAGGAGTTTGGATTTTATTCTGAGCCTATAGGGAAGTTCATGGAGTGACTTAAGCAAGGCGCTGCCTGATGAGATTAGTAATTTGAGAAAATCACTCTGCCTGAAGCATCAATATTTGTAAATAATTTCTGTACAAATAATATTTGTAAATAATTTCTCCAAGTCTTGTAGCAGTTGCAGCTCTTGAAATTTAGAGAGATTGCGGGGCAAGGTGACTCACGCCTATAATCCTAGTACTCTGGGAGGCCAAGGCAGGAGAATCCCTTGAGCCCAGGAGTTTGAGATCAGCCTGAGCAAAAGCGAGACCCTGTCTCTACTAAAAATAGAAAAGATTAGCTGGGCATGATGATGGGTGCCTGTAGTCCCAGCTACTCGGGAGGCTGAGGCAGGAGGGTGCTTGAGCCCAGGAGTTTTAGGTTGTGCTGAGCTAGGCTGATGCCATGTCACTCTAGCCTAGGCAACAGTGCGAGACACTGTATCCAAAAAATAAAAAAATTAAAAGTAAATAAAAATAAATTTAGAGTGAGGCCATAAAGAGTATGAAGAGGCCCCACAGTCGTCAAAGGGAGAGATGATGGTGGCTTGGACTGGTGACAGGGGATAAGAGAATTTGAATGGTTTGCAAGTTTATTAAAACTTGTGTGTGGTTGCAGCACAGTTGTATTCCTGTTTCTTATTCTAAAGGTCTACATGTGATTACACCAAATATACAGAACCCAGAAAGACACACCAACCTGGACACTGCTGGCCAGAGAGTATCCTGAGGCTGTTTGTCAGGTTGCGTGGGCATACTGAGCAGCATTCCATATGCAGGTCTGTCTGGTTTTGACAGCATCCCAAGGCAAGTGGGGTCCAAGCATTGAAAGGTTGGTCACGAGAACACATTATCTCCTCTTGCTCATTTTTGCACAAGGGCAGAAAGGGGGCTGGGTGCACACACAAGCTTGTTGTCATTACAGCATAGTACATAAAAGTCTCAGCAGAGTCAGACTGTCTGGATTCAAATGCCTATTCCTACCAACACTTACCAGCCCTGTGGAACATTGCAGAACCTCGCTATGCTTCTGTTTCCTTTAAGATAGGGATGGTAACAATAGCAACCACTGCTGGAGTTTTAGGAGGCCAATAAACAAACACTCTTTCTAATCCTTCTGACTTCAGAACTGAGGGAAAAAAGCAAACATAAGACAAGCAGTGATCAAAATAACATCTCTATTATTCACAAAAGCTGGACTGAAGGATGTGGTTGAGGTGAGGATTCTTCACCCAGTCACCAGCACAGTGAGAAACTACAGACAGCAGATAATAGAGCATACTCTCTGGGGGTACGGTAGCCCCACCCAGCACTGAGCCTTCTTAGAAAGTCACCAGACAGAGAAATCTTCCTTATTCTCTGGGGAAGAGGCAGATGAAAGCTAGATAGATATATTTCTCCACACTTGCCCCCCCTCGGAGTAGAGCAGGGATCCCCTCTCACCTCCCACTGCCCTTGAAAATATGAAAAGGGAGAATTTGTGATTCTCTCAACACCATTTTATGGGGTTAATACAGGAACTAGAGAAAAATATAGGTAAAGTATCAGGAATACGGACTCCATAAAGTTCTCATCCCTGGTGTCAATTGTTCTGGGTTGGTAAGATCAGATAGACAGGCGAGGCTGGTTGACTGAGGGAAGTTGTGGTTCAGAAACTGAATGAAACAAGGGAGTTCTTAAAGGGGGATTTATCTCTCTCTTTCCTCCCTGTTCCCTATACTCAGGAAACCTTAAGAGTTCCCTAAAGGGAAATACTGACCAAATATGAACTGGCAAGCCTTCCAAACACAGGAGAAAAAACCCAAAGCTGTGTATTTTTGGTGATACATCAACACAGTTACTTACGAATACAGTTTGAAGGTCCAGCTTTCTTTTAATGGGTGTGTGTATGCACTACTTCTGTTGTTTTAGGGTGAGATTTGGATTAGAAGGGAGAGGGAAGAGCTGTTGCATATTTTTCACGGCGGCCTCCCTCCTCACCTCTTACAATTAAGAAATTAGGAACCGCTGCCAGGAAAGTCACTGGGAGCAAACAGGAACCAGCCCTGGGAAAAGCCCTCTCCAATTACTGAACAATGGCAATTCTATTTAAGGTGTGTTCAATGAGGAGACAGGAAATAACATGTTGTGCTGATAGCATACCTTACTGATATACTGCAGTCCTGCATGCAACATATCAGCAAGGCCACACTCACCACCTGACCCTCCTCAGCCAATCCTAGGTCATCTACCTGATGGAGCAAGACTGCAGGTTGTGTGGACATCAGGGAAAAACCCAGGGGAGCAGGAAGCTGTTGGTCTGTGAGCCTAGTGGTTCTCTTCCCTGTGCTGAGTCACCTCTCACTGGGGTACCAGGAGACCACACCAGCCTGAGTTTCTGAGACATATGGAAACCCCCGGCAGCTGGGATCCCGGACAGTTTTCACCTCGGGTAATCCCTCTTACCAAGCCCATTCCCCCTTGGCATTTCCAACTGCAAGGTCTTTAGATCCTCTTTCTACACAAATGGAGCAGGCTCCTGGGCTCACAAGTTCACTGTGGTTGCATAATCCAAACTAAGATTCTCTATGAAAATTGAGCCTTAAATATATTGCTAATTTAGCAATAATAGTTAATATTCAGTGAGTATTTACTGTGTCAGGTACTATATTAATTGTCACAACAGGAAGTAAGTACTGTTATCTACATTCCTCTACAGATGAGGAATTAAGACATAGAAAAGTAACATTCCCATGACTCCTAACTATCTACTATATCCACAATATTTAGCGCAAGGGAAGGAATCTAATACTTTATCTTCCATAATCTGTTTTCATGGACTCAGAAAAATGCAAAACCCGGAAAAGACCTTAGAGATAAGTGAGTGTAACCTTTCATTTTACAGGTGGGAAAACAGACCCAGGGAGCGGTTAGGGTTTATTCGTCCCCACCCACCTCCACTTCAGTGCTTTCCCATAACACATTCCCTGCAGAACAGATCACTCTCCTAAATTTAATCATTTTTCGTTTTCCAATTCTCCATACGTATGTCCATTTTCCTCTCTTCCTGTTACTATTTTTAGCAAGAGAAATAAGGAAGGGAAGGAAGGATGGAGGGAAGGAGAAAGAAAAGAGAACTAAAGATCCAATCTGCTTATCAGTTAATGCAAACTAGGTAATTCAATTGCTAGAACCCTGGTTTGAGCTTCAAGATGTCTGAGGTCAAATCCAATCACTGTGCGACACTGGGTCAGTCTCCTCTCCTGGCTCTGAGTCTCAATTTCCCCAACTGCAAACTCACAAACGTACATCTACCAGACCACCGGAAAGCCTTGCACCCTCATCGAAGAAGGCCTCCTGAGCCGTCGCTTTGCCCTCAACCAACATGGTGACCGCGAGTGACGTCGACTTCCGTCGCCCTCAGCCTACGGCCCCTTCCCTTAGGGGGCGGCGAGCCTCAGTGACGGCTGCGAGCGGGGCGCATGCGCGGCGGCGGGCCCGGCCCGCGACGGCGGCGGCGGCGGCGAAGGGGCGGAGGGGTTTGCAGCCGGCAGTTGCTAAGCTGCGGCGGCCGAGGCGGGATGGTGTAGTCGGGCCTGCGGGCGGGCGGCGGAGCGCGGGCGGGGGCGAGGCGGCGGGGCGGGCAGGCGCCGCCCGACGGGGTCGGGAGCCCGGCAGCACGCCGAGGGGGCGGCGCCGCCGCGGGAGGCCGCGCCCGCCATGGCGGCCCGGGCGGTGCTGGACGAGTTCACCGCGCCGGCCGAGAAGGCGGCGCTGCTGGAGCGGAGCCGCGGCCGCATCGAGGGCCTGTTCGGCGTGAGCCTGGCCGTGCTCGGCGCGCTTGGGGTCGAGGAACCGCTGCCCGCGCGCATCTGGCTGCAGCTCCGCGGGGCGCAGGAGGCGGTGCACAGCGCCAAGGTGAGTCCGGCGCCGCGCCCGCGCCCGCCGGGCCCTGCCGGGCCTCCGCTCGCGCGCGGTCTCCGGGCGCCGGCCGCGCGGGGACGCGGCGAGCGCGGAGCCGCGAACCCGCGCGCTCGGCTCCAGAGCCATGTGACCTTGGGCTGGCGGTTTCATCCCGGGGCCTCAGTTTCCCCAAGTGTACGGTGGCACTGACGAAAGCCGCTGCCTCCGAGGGCTGTGGCGAGAGTGATGAGCGTGTGGCGTGAAGCCGACAGCTCGGCGTCGGGCGCGGAGCGAGCGCTGTGAAGTTGCCCGCCGTCTGCCCCCAGCCCCGATGGTGCGCACGGCCCGCGGCCGGGCCCGCGGCCTCCCTGCGCCGCCTCCCGGCGCTTTCTCCCGCAAGGCCTCCGCTGCAGGGGTCCTGATCCCTTTGGGATTGCAGTTCCCCTTGAGACTTGAGAAAAACTGTAATAGTAGTAAAACGCTCGGCGAATATCAAAGAGAAGATACTTCATAGTAGTGTTAAAAATGGCATTATTCGTTTTATAGATGTTCTGTACAACTAGCATTTATAGAATGCTTATAGCATATCGGACGTTATGCTAAATGTTTTAGAAGGAATATGCAGCCCTGAAGAAATCTAATGAGGTAGATTTTGTCCTCCCCACCTCCCACTTCTTAAAAATTAACAGCTGGGGAAACTGAAACTCTAAATGGTGACTCACCTTCTGTCTAAATCAGCATTTCATAGTTTTACCTTCTCAACACCTCCACTACTTCTCCCTTCCCAAGCCAGAAAACAACAAAGTTTGCCTTCCTTCCAGGTAACCAACTTTCTCCAGGTTTTCCTGTCTCCTATGTAGGGCAGTAGGATCCAGATGTAGGGAGTGTGTTTCCAGAGCCCTTGCCTCCCGAGTGATGAGCCCTCTCTTCAAGGCAGTGAAGGGGCCTCTCTTTTTGACCTCCTTCACAAATTTCACAGGGCTCTGGAAGAATCTGAGTAGTTCTATCTCCTGACGTTCTTAGATTTAACAACAGCAGCAAAATCGTGGATGCTTGTCTTTAACATGTTTAGAGGAGATGGGACGCCTAGCTGTATAATTCTTCTCCACAGCTTAACTTAAAATATTGCAGATGTTGAATCAAGTTTGCTTTCCTGTGGTTAATATTTTTAATCATTCGGATTTCAGACAACTGGTCTAACTTCTTCCTATTCCCCTCTTTTCTTCCCAGCTATTTAATATCTTCTACTCCCTGGGGCTAAAAAGCTTGACATGACTAAGTCCTGTTAGTTCTTCTGGAAGTCTCATATACATTCATTCCTCTCCTTTCCATCACCCTTGCTGCATACAGTTAAGATCTTCATTCTTGGTGTGTCCCCTCCCTCCTGTGTTAGAGTACTCTAACTTGCATTAGAATAATCCACAAAAAGTCATTCTGCCCTGGGACATACTAGGGCCTCCTGTCACTTGTCCTAATTCCTCCTCTGCCTTCAAAATTGCTTATTAATCCAACCCTACCTTATTTTTCCAATGTTCAGTTTTAGCAGCTCTCAGTTTAAACCTCCACTGTAGTTTCACTGCCTTTGCTGTGTGTTCTGCCTGCTCCCAGTTCTGCTTTTATTCAAGATTCACCCCAAGTACAGAAAGTGCTTCCTTTGTTCTGCAGAAAGTCCTGCCAGACTCTCCAGTTGTCTTGGCTGTCCCTACCACACAGTTTAGCCTAAGCTGATTGGGAAAAGTGTCTTACAATATCATAGTAGTATTTGTCCCTGTTTATCTTTGTGATGTGTTTACTCATAATTCAACCCTGCCAGTTGCAAGAAATGCTTTTTTCCCCCCTCTTGAGAGTCATGGGTAAGAGTTGAATGCACAATCAGGGCTTTTAGTTCTCGTTAATTTGTTTTGGAGTTTGTTTTACCTTTTTTTTTTGGAGGAAGAGAAAGCCATTAACTTGATTTTAAAAATTAAGAACAGGAAAGCAAACTTAATTTAGCATCTGTAGTATTTTCAGTTAAGCTGTGGAGAGGGAGGTTTGCAGGAAGGAAGATGTAGAATAAAAAAGAATTTTTAAACTAGCTGGCATAGTCTCAGATCAAAATAAGATGAAGTCAACTGTTCTCCCACCAAGCGGTTTACTTTGTTTTTTTGCTTTCAAAATGTTTATTCACTGCTTTTAGTAAATGCTGGAGTAGAAGAGAATGTGGAGATTTAGTTAAGTCTCCAATTATTCGGGATAGGTGAGATGGGAGTTAACTGTTAGAAGGTGATAATGCCCAGGGAGGTTGAAAAATGGCACTGCTCTATAAGGGTGGCCACTTTTGTTAAAGTGGAAATTTCTTGGAGGAAGCAGCACTTTAGCTGCGCTGTGCAGAGCCAGGAATATTCCCAGGTACCTAGCATTACAGACATGTCATGAGCAACATCCTAGAGAGAGATGAAGCCTGAGGACCCAAATGCCAGGCTAAGGCCATTGGGATATATTCAATAGGGAGTCAGTGAGGGTTTTGAGAGGGAATGGATTTGCCTGAAACTCTGTGTAGGATAATTTGGAGGCAGAAAGACCTAACAGTGGAAAGAACACTGTTTCAAGTTAGAGTTGGGCATGAATGGGCGGTGGGGTGCAGGGTTTTCACCAAGGACTTGGCAGCTGAGTGGAGGTCGGGATTTAGGGGTAGGTCTTAAGCCTGGTGGCAGGAAAAATGGTTGATTATGTTGTTTGACCTGTTGTTGGTGGTGGGACTACCAGGTAGTGGACATCTCACGTGCCAGGAGGTATACTAACTGTTGCTCCTTGAGCTGGAAGAACCTGCAATCTAGTAGGGCAGACAAACATGGAAACAAATGTTACAGTGTGATACATGTAACAGTTGAAGTGTGTGCAAGGTAATACAGGAAAGGAAGGGTTGCTCTGCCCTGCTGGGTTCTAAAGGATGAATGGGAGTTTGCCAGAGGACAGTGAGTTCCTGGCAGAAGTAAGAGCATGTGCAGAATCACAGGGACATGAAAGAGTGCGGTTTTATCACAGATTCCTCAAGTGTAGGGGGGAGAAAGGAGCAAATTGCCAGAGATGGAGAGGGACCTCCTGAAGAACATGGGTTTTACTCTGCAGGCAGGCAGTGGAGAGTCATAGAAGAGATGTCAGGACATGAGAGACTTATTTCTAAAAATGCCTCAGCGTTGACACCTCTCAGCTTGTGCTAATCAGTGTGTGCTGCTGCTAGTTTGCGATGATGTACAAAAATTGGAAGTAAGTGTTCAGCAGCTTTCCTGGCCATTTGACATTACTGCAGGGGCTAGAGAGGCAACGTCTGAGAGAGAGAGGAAACCCAGAAGAGGGCATTCATTGTCCATAGGGGACCCAGAGAGAGGGGCTGAAGTCAGTGGTGGAAGGCATCACAGAAGCAAAGGAGTTTGAGGATTAAATTTCAGAGGAAATGAAGGTACTGACTAGCTCTTGCCTCATTCACAAAGAAAGAGATTAAAGGTGCAAAAAGCAGGGTGGGATCTTCCCAGCCAGGCAGTGGTGGAAAGGGATGAAGTTGAGGAGATTCAGGGATAGGTAGTGAGATGAGTTGGAACACTTCTTTTAGATCAAAGGACCACAGACTCCTGGGACCAGGTGGGAAGGCTGTAGGAAGTGGCTGTGTGATAGGGAGGAGGGCCTGTGGTGACCTAAGGCAGTCTGCCTGTCGAGAGGGCAAATGTCTGTGCATATACTATTAGCCACTTACACAGTTTGGGCTCAGTGCTGTCTAATCCATTATCCAAGAGAAGCCAGGAGTCTGTTCCATTATGTGAAACCTGTTGTATTTTGTTCTAAGTGGCAACTAATTTATGTTTTAAAAACCATACACATTGTGAATTATATTAATAAAAGTTTTCTTTTTAAAGGATATATTCTAAAAAACAAAACAATAGCTATGTATGCTAAGCAAAACATGTCAGTGGACCAAGTTCAGCTTTTGCACTGCCTTTTTAGGATCTCTACTTTATTTATTTATTATTTTTGAGACAGAGTGTTACTTTGTTGCCCAGACTAGAGTGAGTGCCATGGCATCAGCCTAGCTCACAGCAACCTCAAACTCCTGGGCTCAAGCAATCCTCCTGCCTCAGCCTCCCAAGTAGCTGGGACTACAGGCATGCGCCACCATGCCTGGCTAATTTTTTCTATATATATATATTAGTTGGCCAGTTAATTTCTTTCTATTTATAGTAGAGACGGGGTCTTGCTCTTGCTCAGGCTGGTTTCGAACTCCTGACCTCGAGCAATCCACCTGCCTCGGCCTCCCAGAGTGCTAGGATTATAGGTGTGAGCCACCGGGCCTGGCCAGGACCTCCACTTTAAATGATAGGAAACAGGATTAGTAAGATACACGACTATTTTCCCACTTGAAGAAGAAGACAGTTGAAGACCCTGATGGCCTGCATACAGTACAGTCTCAGTAAAGTAGAATACTAGTTCATCCCCAGGGAGGGAGGGTGAGAACTTAAAAACAGTGGAATGTGTTAAGTGCAGTGGAACTGCTGGAAGTGTATTGGAAAAGAAAG